CCTCCAGCTCCACACTGTGTTATCTCTGACTCCAGCATCGGCAGTTCTTACTATCATATAGTTTATGCCTTGCTTTCTGAGGAGACTTTTATTGATTATGAGGCGGGGGAGAAAGGCTGTACTTTGTGTGTGCAAGTCAGTCTTTGAGGCTTACAGGTAGAAATTTTGGAATAACCAGCTTGGACAGATGTATGTAAAATGTGAGAGGGTAAAACAAAATAACATTGACCATTGTTTGTGACGTTAAAGGTAGAGACCATGTATGACAACTCATGCTGGCCAATGTTGTCACTGGACTGAACAGCAAAATCATTTTTTACTAACAGAAAGACTAAGTATGATGGTCACAAGGTCTTTAAACTAGTTAAAGACGGGGAGGGCTCAAAAGAGGTTATTTAAGTTTCCAGAACAGGTAATAGGACTTAGAGAATGCCTAGAGTCAGGAATCTGTCTTCAGGCACAGCAGGCAAGGGGACAATTATGAGAAGGGGGCCAGTCAATGCAAGGTGTCGTACTTAATATGCGCAACACATGAAACAAGGTAAATGAACTTGTAGTGCAGATTGAAATTGATAGGTACAATGTTGTAATTACACAGAGACGTAGCTGCAAGGGTTTCAGGGCTAGGAACTAAATATCGAAGGATATGTGTTCTATTGAAAGGACAGGCAGGTGAGCAGAGTGGGAAGAATTGCATTGTTAGTAAGAAATGAAATTTAAATTAATAGCAAGAAGCTACATAGGGCCAGAAGGCATAGAATTTGCATGGGTAGAGTTGACGAACCGCAAATGAAAAAAGACCCTGATGGGAGTTATGTATAGATCCATCTTTTGGGTCACAATTGTTGCAGATCCATTGCAGTTTCCCTCCATTTGACACTGTGGAAATGTCCAAATTTGAATGATTTTAATAAAGAAAATCTATACCTTTCAATTTTTTTTCTTGTCTTTCATTTTTCCAGCTGGCAAGCCTTATTCCTCATTCTACTCATAGCCCTGAAATAATTATACTCTGTGCTTTTATGACATGAGAGAGATTCCTTTTGCAATGCACCATTTCTTAAAACAACTGCAGCATAAAACAATTTACTTATAAATCAAATACAAGGAAATAGAAAAATCTTTGTGAGGGTGTTTAGAACTTTCCAATTCTTTAGAGTTTATTGTTTTATTTTGAAATGTTTTAGAATGCAATTGGCTATCATGAGAAATTTATCTGATGTTATTGCAGTGATATTCAAATTTTACAGTTTCTACCTCTAGTCAGGATTTTAAGATCAGGGTGATGAAGAAATGGCACTACACTGAGAGCTGCCCATGGATACTTGTAGGCTTACTGAGCCATGTGGACAGTTAATTCAGCATGAAGCCTCTACAGGATAAATGGGAATAGGAATAGATGATTCAGATTTCAGGTTGTGTTTTGCCATTCAATGAGATAGGAAACCTAATTCTGATGCCCATTTAAGCCACATATCCCTTAAAAATTTAGTTAAAAACTATCAATCTCAGTTTTAATGTTAACCATCAATTATAGTTTGTGGAAGAGAATTCTAACCTTCTTCCACACTTTGTATGTAAATGTGTTTTCTAATTTCACTCATGCGGGATCTGGCTGTCATCCTACATTCGTCACACACTCCTAATTAAAGTGCATGTCCGTTGTTTTTACTTTCTGGTTGAGTGCTGTTCCAACAACACTCAAGAAACTTGACATCCAGGAAAAAGCAGTCCACTTCATTGGCACCCCATCCACCACCTTCAGCATTCACTTCCTTCGCCACCAATGCACAGCATTGTAACATCCACCAAGGTTCCTTCAACCATACCTTCCAAACCTAGGAACAATACCAACTAGAAGGACAAAGTCAGCAAATGAAATTCCCCTCTAAGCCACACATCGTCCTAACTTGGAACTATATCTCTGTTGATTCACTGTAATTGAGTCAAAAATCTGAAACTCCTTTCCTGACAGCACTGTGGGTGGACCTACTTCCATGGACTGCAGCCACTCAAGGTGGCTCACCAGCACCTTCTCAAGTACACGTAGAGGTGCACCCAGTCAGCAGTGCCCACATCCTGTGAAAGAATAACTTCAAATAAAAGGCGCAGGGGCAACATGAAGAAAAAAGTTTTTTGCAGTGAGTGTTAATGACCTGAAACTCCCTGCCCATGAGGATTGCAGAAGTGAAAAATGATTTCAGAAGGAAATTTGACAGGCATTTAATGAAGTAAATTTTCAGGCATATGGCATTAAGTTGGGGAGTGGGACTGAGTGGATTGCTCCTTGTGGAACTGGCATAGGCTTAATCGGTTGATTGGCCTCTCTTTGGGCTGAAAATACTTGCTTTTTTTTCTTTTCATCCTCCCTCTACTAACAGCTGGTCCTGCCCTTCATGCCCTCTAAATACTCTCCCAGTTATGACCACTTCCAAGAGGAAAGCCAAGTAGTGCAATAATGTCGAGGAGTCCTTGTTTTATCAGAAGCTTTGAGGACAGCAAAAAATACTTCAGGACCTGCCACACACCTCGTTGTATACTTCTGAAACTTGAAACAACTGCATAAACCAGTAAGTACAAATTAGATTTGTTAAAAGAAGACAAGAAGTTAAAGCTCTTTAGTTTGCACTCATAATATTTGCGTTTCTTCTCTCCTTTTAGCAACGTTTTGTATTAACAAGCAACTATTTAGATTTGTCAGAAAGCAAAATAAAGAGGATTAAGAGACAGATGGAATTGACAATGTAAAAACAAATCTACGACACAATTTCTGAACAAATGAGTCCCCATGCTTACAAAATTAAACTTGTAGGAGTTTCTTTGACGGTGATTGCAAATTATCACATTGTTTAAGGATTCACTTGCACCTGAATGGACTGACCCTAACATTTCTAGTGTGTTTTTTGGTACTAGTGGTTAAAGACAGCAATTTCACTTCCTTGCAGTGATTTCAATACCAAGTCTATCAATGAGGTATTACAGTACAGGGTTTGAAAGAGCAGGATTACTAACAGAAACGTTTGGATTTCCATGTTTAACTGCACATTTGTGGTCACCATTGCAGACAATACAGTTGACTAATTTATTTCATAATAGTGTTAAGTGGCATTGATCTCACTATTGGCATAATCTTCATGTATTCCTAAATAACTTTAAATTAAGTAACTAAGGACAGCCTTTTTGCCATTAAAGGACAAAAAATGGAAACCAGTGGGTGTGTCAGCACTAGCAGAGTCAAAGAGGGCGAGTGCCAGGGTGCAGGGAAGGTCTATTCATCCACAAGTGTCAGTAGCCAAGTAAGGCATGATTAAAATTAACTGAGCCTGACTGAAATTTTCCAGTTGGCACGTGAATCACATGGGGTGACAGGAAAAGGCCAGGCACTCGTGGTCTCCCAATGAAAGTTTGGGTGTAAGGTAGGGCTTGTGGCCCTCCCTTGCCTATCTGTACACATCCCTGAGGAGAGGCTATACCTCCAACATATTGGCCCAGAGCTGGAGCCATTGTTTGATTCAATTTGCTTTAAGTTGCTGAGAGGATGCTTCAAGTTGGAGGAAGCCTCCACCTCCCTTGCCTGCAAGGAGATTCTGTTGTTTCTTTCTTCTTAATGATCCTCCAGCTCCACGAGTCCATCACCATCCTTACTTGAAAGGCAAGCATGCCCTCTGTCTACTCATTGGCCAATTCAATGAAAATCATCGTTCCACAACTATTTCTGATGCATTGCAGAATCAGTAGTCTGCCTGCTGTTAAAATCTTTTGCATGTTTCATAATAATTAGCCTTCAATTTACAATATTTATTTATGTCCAGTTTCCCTGGATTCTCTACTTAACATTATAATTGTTTCATATTCTGAAGTAATATTTCCTATTCTGGAAATTTTAAACTAAAACCCTGTCATCAATACATGTTTATGAATACATTTTCCTAAAAAAAGCAGATTTTATTACCAAATTAGTTGTTTCAACTGGATTTTTTCTATTGTATTGTAAAGTATTGATTTTAAAGTTTTTGTAAAATCTATATCTTTGTAAAATAGTACAAGATCACTATTATTTGCAATAATCTATAGTCTGTCAGAATCCAAGTGTTAACAATGGATATGAAGTAAAGCTCACACACTTTTTTGTGCATGGTACATTAAACGCAAAATGTAAACCATTTCTCCATAAAAGATAGGAAAACTATTATTCACACCTGTGGCCTCTGTAGATTAATACAAAAATTATTTAAAAAAATTAAAAAATTAAGATGTGAACACTGACTAACACCAGAAAAAAAAATTTTCAAGTGTATTCCATTTCCTGTGGAAGCCCTAGTACATTTGCTGCCCAGGTGGCTATGTCTGTGAACCATTAACCCTCGGCTTCTGACTTTATTTTTCTACTCATGAACTGTTACTAATTTCAAAATACCAGTGTGCCAAGTAACAGAAGATCTATTGCTCAGTCCTGCCAAGGTGGCCTTTGTTGTTTCATTTTAGTTTTGCTTTTTTGGACTGGTTTAGCTGTACCTTGACTGATGCATTTTTCAGAGCTACCCTGTTTGGAGAGATCATGTTGTGATTCTACAATGGTAGTTATACTTTCATTAGACATCCTTGGTTCCCCAGGTCGAAGTTTTAGAGAAGAAGCTGTTGCAATGGTAAATGCTTCGGTTTTAAGCTCTGGTCTTGTTGCCTCATTTTGTGGTGTGCTAGCATTTCCATCCACTTTTACTTTTCCATCTGGTTTTCGTGGCTTTGAAGCAAATTGTGAGGAATGACCACCATCAGTCTTTTTTTCCATGTTCTCTTTTCTCAGATTGTGAAGAGTTTCTAGGGCATGACTGAACTCTTCCTTCAAGGTTTCAAGTTCACTGGCCAATGAATCTCGTTGTTCTTTACAATCTTTGACACAGCATTCCAAGGAAAGGAAGAATTCTTTCCCAAATCTGGATAGAGCCTCATCACCTTAAAAAGGAAGATAGTAACATGTTCAGATTAAAGTAGATATTCCATTTCAAGAGGAACAGTGAAATAGATTTACTCATTCCAAGAAATAAATACATATATCAAAATAACCTTGACAGGAATAGGTATGTAGTTGAATGTTTTTAAGTATAATTATCAACAAACTTTTACAGACACAGATAAACTGTATGGGAAAAAAATTGGGAACTAATTACAAAATCATGACAAAATTACATAAATTCTAACTCTTATATTGTCAATGGCAAATCTCTGAGTTTAAGTCCCACTCCAAGACTGAGAATCAAAAAGAAAGGCTGACACTTCAGTGAAATACTGTGCTATTGTGCCAGCTTTTGGATCAGATATTAAACTGAAGCCATCTACTTTCTGAAGTGGACATAAAAGATTTTGTGGCACAATTCCAAGTAAAAGTTGAGGAGCGATCCCTGTCACCTGGCCAATTTTTATCCCTCAAACAACATCACAAAAACAATTATTCAGTCATTGTCACATTCATGTGTAGGAGCTTGTTGTGTGCAAATTGGCAGGTGTTTTTCCACAGTACAGCAGTGACTGCACTTCAAAAATACCTGATTGGATGTAAGGCACTCTGAGATATTTAGTGGTTGGAAAAGCACTAAATAAATGCAATTATAATTTACACAAGAAATGAAATTGTTTTGCAGTGTAATATGGTGTTTGCAGTGGGATGTGTCACCAAAATCTACATTTGCAACTTTTATTAAGTGAACAGTGGTTCCGTACCATTGCACCATATGATTACCAACAACACTTAATGGAATAATACCAGACTGCTTTTGATTATAAAAAGGATACAGACAAAATTGTGAAGGTGTCTAAAGTGGGTTACAAGGGGTGTGTAGCATGCCAATGCAACCTCTGAAGGCCCAAAAATGTTAGGTCAGTAGTACAGGCACACTTAATAGGGAATATATTGTCTACACATTGGATAGGGGTAAACAATAACCTTAAGCAAGTGTTAGATCCTATACAAATGGATTGAAAATAAAAGGGTGCTCTGAGATTTTTCTGCTATGAACACATCATGTAGTCCAGCACCTACAGCATAAATAGGTCATGATATCCATAGTATGAAAACTGTGGTGCCATCTTGGAGCTCTATGGTGTGTTTAGCCTTGCACTGTTAAACATACAGGTTTTCCTCCACCATACCAGCTCTATTGAAAGGTGTGAATTAGTTAAAGGTTAGTTGTTGTATTATTTCCTCTAGTTGTTGCTAATATTCTATACATTTTAGGTGTTTTTCTATATTTCTCAGAAGTTTAAATGGTTTAAAGGGACTAGACATTGTTGTTGAAGAAGTACTTTGATGGTGACTTAAACACAAACCAGTTACTTCCAAATATGGGTGGCCTATTAAGGTTTCGTCTTGGCATTGAGCACGACTTGGAGAATGATCAGAGGCCACCCAAAGCAGAAGGAGTTGTGAGCAGAAAGTAAAGGATAATTCAGAGAAGGATAATACAAAGACTGTCAGCATCATCTCCTCCATGGACATCAAAATATACAGGTATGCCGCTTCCATTTCTTCCTGCTGCCTTCTTTTGTGTTCCACTGGCTTTTGTAAGAAAGAGGGAAGTGTGCCAGTGAGCCTCACGTAATATGTTTGGGTGATCCAACTGTCATGGTTTAATAGCTGTCAATTAATGTAAGCCACGAGATAAGGAGGTATCAGGTTTGTTGAGTGTTGAAGGATAAGGGTAAAGTATGTGGAGGCTAGGTTAGGTCTATGTCCTGAGTGATGAAAGTCAATTGAGCTTTGAGTGAAGCTAGTGATCCAGTTAGTGGGATTGGCATTTGAAGGTACACACTTGACACTGATAACTTATGAAATTGTTAACTTATTTATGCTCTATGTTTCGAGCTCTAGGCTATCCAGGACAAAACAGCCCACTTGAATTTCACCCCATCTACTGCCTTAAACAGCTTTGACCACCAATGAACAGTGAGAACAGCGGATACCATCTACAAGGTGAACTGCAGCAACTCACCAGGTTTAGGTAAGAAAAGGTGGTTTAGCCAGCAGTGCCCACATCCCGTCAATGAATTAAAAATGACTTATATTAAATTCATGGGAAGGGAGAGGCCCACGACAATGGGAAACCTGACAGTTTTATGGTCACAGTCTAAGGGCTGGAGAGGAACCTCCTATTAGAGAGCCCTGTGCCCAGTGGAGACTCCTGGCCACCAATCCCCATCAGCCTCCTCAGCAGAATCTGCTAACTTGCCCCTGGTGAAACCATGGACTTAGCTGTTAGTCTAGTCTACACTGGCATTTGGGATTGCTTGTAGTCACTATAGTGCCACTGCGACATCTGGGATCACTAAAGTGCTAGTCATCTGGTTGCCTTGTCATGGGACTTCCTCCTAAGAGGAGTAGAAATTGCACCTCCAACCAATTAATTTAGTCTCAGTAGTAAATGATTGTGGGCAGCTGTCAGGATAGTGGGAGGGCTGGGATTTTAGCGCCCTGTTAAATCTAGCCCATGTCTGTTTTTATGAACGGAGTTTCTACAGGGGGTACGATTGCAGTTTTATCACAGTCTAATCCTTTCTTTAATCAAAACATTTGCTGTACACTTATAAATAACAATCAGGTTTTTAATTTGGAATCCAATTTTTTTCTTTTATCAATCCAGGACTGGACGGCCAAAGTCACCCCCTATAGTTTTTGGTCTGTTAACTCTGATTCTCTTTTTACAGATGCTGACAGATGTGCTGAGTATATCCTGTTTTTTCTGATTTGGTTTCAGATTGTAGCATCTTCACTATATTGCTTTTGATTAGATTTTCTCTTGTTGGATATAGTCATTAAAAGGCACTTATTTAGTGTGAATGTTAGTCCCCATTTATGAAGCCAAGCCTGAATGTTGTCCGGATTTTGCTGCATAGAAATTCTAACTGTTTCAGTATCACTTGATCAGGGAAATGAACACTACAAAAACATCAGTGAATATGCCCACTTCTGACCTCATAGTGGAGGGAAAGTCATTGCTGAAGCAACTGAAGATGGGTTGGGCCTAGGACACTACTCTGGGGAATTCCTACAGTGATATCCTAGGCCAAAATGACTAGCCTGCAACAATCACAACCATCTTCTTTTGTGCTGGGCACAAGTTTGCACCAGTGGAGAGTTTAATCTCTCATATCCCATTCAGATCAATTTTAACAGGGCTCTTTGATGCCATGCTCAATCAAACGTTCACTTGATGTCAAGGACAGTCAGTTTCACATCATCTCTGAAATTTATCTCTTTGGGCCATGTTTGGGCCAAAGCTATAACACAGTCTGGAATCAATTGAGCCTGATGGGATCTAATATAAGTATCAATGACCAATTATTGCTAAAGAATTGCCATTGATAGCAGTGTCAATGATATCTTCCATCACTTTGCTGATGATTGAGAGTAAACTGATGTGACAGTAATTGGTGAATTGGATTTGTCCTCCTTTAGTGGACAGGACATACCTGAGCAATTTTCCATTTTGTCAAGTGGCTGCTAGAATTGCAGTTGTCCTGGTACACTTTGGTTAGTGCATAGAATGCTTTGGAGCACATGTTGAAGACTACAGCTAAGATTATATCAAGGTCCAAAGCCTTTGCTGTACTCCATGTGTTCAGGCGTTTCTTGTTATCACATGGAGCATTTCTAATTGGCTGAAGATTGGCATCTGTAATGCTGGGAAACTCAAGAGAAGGTTGAGATGGATCAGCCACTTGACAGCCCTGTCTGAAGATGGTTGCAAATGCTTCAGCATTTTCCTCTTCATCCACATTCTGGATGGGGATATTGTGGAGTCTTCTCATCCCCCTGGTTGTTTAATTATCCATTATCAATATCACTGGTGGTGATAGCATGGCAAAATATTGATTTGGTCTATACACTTTCTGATCATTTAGTTCTGTGTACAGCATATTTCTCTTACCGTGCAGAGTGCATTCGGTCGTGCGTTGTCATTAGGTTGATACCTCATTTTTACACATGTTCCTGGCATGCACTCCTGCACTCCTCACTGAACCATGGTTAGTCTTTTGGTTTGATGGTAATGCTAGGGTGAGTGATATGCCAGCCACGAGGTTACTAATTATGGTGGAATACAATGCTGTTACTAACGAGGCATCTTGTTTGAAACTTAAGACGCTGAGGGTATTGAGAGGGAACATGTGGAAGCTGCCACTTACAATAGAATCTAGATCTACAGGTCACTGTTTCACAATTAGGGGTCATCAACTTAAGACAGAAATAAGGATTTTTTTGTCTTAGACAGTCGTGGGTCTTTGGAACTTTATTCCTCAGAATGTGGAGGTGATGGCATTGGACTGAGGTTGACAAAGTCAGAAGTCACACAATATCAGATTATAGTCCAACAGGTTTATTTGAAATTACAAGATTTCAGTGCGATGTTCCTCTGTCAGGTATCTTCACCAAACAAAGGAGCAGCGCTCCAAAACCTTGTGATTTCAAACAAACCTGTTGGACTATAACCTGATATCATGTGACTTCTGACTTCTTCCTCAAAAAGCAGATGTACACAGATTCTTGATAAGTAACAAGGTGAAAGGTCTCAGGTGTAGGTGGGAATGTGCAGTAATCAGATCAGCCATGATCTTAATGAATGGCAGAATACTCTCAAGGTGCTGAGTAGTCTATTCCTGCTCCCAATTCGTACAGTCCTGATAAGGAACTAATGGATACATGTTAAGAGTATTTTTGATGTTAAAAAATCTTAACTTACGATGAAACTGACTAGTATATAACAATGAAACTGATAAATGGTTCAGTAAATCTTTTTTAAAGTCACTTCCTGTATTTGTAAATCAGGATGGATTAATTTACATTTGTAGATAAGAAAATTAATTTTATGGAAATGTGAACTGTAACCTAATCCATTCAATTTCAAGTACATTATGGGCGCAAGCTGGAAATTCACTCTTGAGATCTTAAGTCAGAAATCTCCGCAGATCTGTATAATGTTCTATTTAATTTTCTCTGCCTGTAAATTTTCATTCATTTACTACACTGCTCATTTACACTTTTACAGGGAAAAAATATTCTGTATATCAAATCTATTTAAATTTACAGATTTTTTTTAATGCATCAAACTGTAAAATTTTGGTTGAAATTTTAAAATAGTATAGATTCAAGTTTACGATCCCAATAGGGAGCCTGCTGGACAAGAGTGAGAATGTGGAAATTACTCCCAGATGTTATAACTCAAGTTTAGTGAGCAATAGATGATATTTAGCTGCGAGAATGAAGAAACGTTGAATAATTATCAAGAATATGACAATGTAATACCACACACATTTTATACTACAGCAGTAAAAGTATTTGTTCAACCAGGTTAATGTCGACCTTTTTTATGAAACAGAACAGAACTAAAATAAAAACACTGTGAAAGGATGTAAATAACCATGCTGCTTTACAATGCATTGTTATACATTATGGTAGGTTTGCAACAACATCCTAAAGAAAAAAAATGACCGTCACTCTGGTAATGCCTACTGCCCATCATTTTGCTGCTTTTTTTGGATTAATCCCATGGAAAAGCAAGTTGTTCTGTAGTCCATAAAATGTACGAAGATGCAAGCAGCAAACATGCTGCTAACAATCATTATTTAAAGGCATTTTTTTCATAGTTGTTATTTTGACATAAATCCCATTTCTATGTATTTGCATAGTCAGACATAACAAGTTTCAGCAACTAGAGATGGGAGGATGTATACTAACCATAAGACATTATAGACTGTGGACCTATAGCTAGTCATGAGCCTCTACTAGATATGGGTTAGTACTGTGTTTCGTTCATGAGTCATTCACCCCATAACATGGTCCGCAGCTGCATGACACTGGCTTTTTATATATGTCTCACAACTTGTGTTGAATTCTCAAATTAATTTAATGGGTAACTAGCTGGAAGGTCTAGTAACACAGATTCAATGTTTTCTCCAAATATGGAGCAATATGCACGGAAGGCCTGAACTAGGACAATATGGAAGTAAAATGATGTATCCAAGTAAATTGTCAATGACACCCAATGCGTTTCTACTATGCTCAACAATTCTACCTTTTAGCTTCTGGTTGCTCCTTTGCATATTGACTGGTCTGAAGTTGGTCTAGCAATGTTTAATGTCCACTTTCTTTGATCTGCTGGGAACCAGACATCTGCCTGATATTGTAGAATAATTTAAGAAATAAAAAGGAAATACAATGCTGCTCATGTGTTATTTCTTACCATCACTATGCTGATTTTGGAATGGCATCAGATCATTCACTGCATCCTGCATTTGTTCCGCATTGTTTTTAAAAGTTGTTAAAAAATCTGTTAGTGCTGCTTCGGTTGTCATCTCCTGTAGATTTGTATACGACATTAGCACTTCTGCAAGTAAAAATATTAACAATTGCTGTAGCTATGCAAAACAATTAAAAAAATACATTCATAAAGAAGCAAAATACTATGGATGCTGGAAATCTCTCATAAAAACAAAATGCTGGAGAAACTCAGCAGGCTAGATAGCATCTGTGGAGAGAAAAACAGAGTTATTATTTCAAGTCCAATGCAGCTGTCCTTCAGATGCTGAAAATACATTTATAATTATGATCCCAGCTGATGGTAAAGCTGGACAAATCAGATGCTAGAGTGAAACCTGGCCTGACAGACTATCAATTTTATTTTTGCCATTTGGTTACTAAAAGTACTTTTAACAAAATAATATAAGTTTATGATACAAAGTAAAAGAAAAATAACTAAGTATGTATATATAAGATTATTAACAAGGATCTTATAAATAGCAACAAAGAAATTCAAACCTTTTATCCAGCAAGATCCTTTATACTCAACCGAGTGAAGTATCACTCCTATCTTCCGTTTAAAATTTCTTACCGAACCAATGAGATTATAGACATTACTTTTCAGTAACTATCTGCACTTTCACTGTGGTTCTCTCCATTATTGTCTCTCCTTGAGACACACAGCAAAACTAACTCAAAATTTTTTACTCTGAATCTTAAGGAAAAAACACAGGCCTTTTTATTAGCCCTGTCTAAAGTTAAGCTCTATTGGCCTGGAGGCTGCCAAAACTAAAAATTGTCCTTCCACCAGAATGGAATTTTTCTTCTAAATTCAACCTACTTGCAGCCCCTTGATATCTTTCCTTTTTGTAGGTTGTAATTATTACATCTAGTAAAAACCCTGGCAAATATCTCCCCATTTAATTTTAGTTTACACGTTTTCTTGGAAAGGCTATTTTGAATACACAGTTCAAAAATGATTTTCTGACCTTTCTTTTAAAATAGTCCCCTCCACAGCATTGAAAACCAAAATTCCATGTTAACTCTACATTAAAATCAAGCTCCCAAGTAATAATAATAGACTTTTATCACAATGGAGATTTGAAAATAATGAAGCTAATTGTTAGTGCCTCAGCATTCTGTGCTGTAGTTTCTCTGAAAAAGAGCAATAACACATTGTTTTGTAATAAAGTGAAAGATAGTGCAACAGAAGATATAAAACATAAATCTAAAACATTTTCTCAAACTAAAACGGCAGATTATGGCAAAGGGGACACAGATGATAAAAGGTGAATTTAGTACTGATGTCAGGCAGATTTATTCTACCCAAAGAATGACACATGGTGCAGACAAATATTTTGTTCACCAGTGATAGTTTATCAAATGCAGCAGTTTTTCAGGTCTGAATTTTATCTAAGGTACCAATGAGCTCAACCGAGTTATCTGAATTCAATTCTTTGCTGCTCACCTCATCACGTACACACCATGCCACTTTGGCACCTCTCATGCTATCTTGTGCTCATCAGCTGCACTCACTACTGCTCGGATCTTCCAGGATTTTTGCTGCTGGTACCATATTTAAAGTCCAGTTATACACCAGGTCAATTGCTGCCATCCCTTCATTCTACACATGGTGGGAGATTCTGAGTGCATGTCGATGGCATTGGTGAAACTCCATTGGAAATAGAATCTCACTCAACCACATCTCTTGCGTTTCCCGCACCTCTGCCCTCACATCCCCCCCTCAACAAAAACAAAGACAGAATCCCCCTTGTCCTCACATATCACTCCACCAAACTCCGTATCCAATGCATCATTCTCCACCACTTCTGCCACCTACAATCCAGCCGCACAACCAAAGATATATTTCCCTCCCCACCCCTATCTGTCCTTCCTAGGTACCGTTCTCTCCGCGACTCCCTTGTCTGTTCCACAGTCCCCACTAGCCTCACGAACCCCGGCACCTTTCCCTGCAACTGCAGGAAGTGCTACACCTGCCCCTACACCTCTCCCCTCACCTGCCTTCAACACACAAACTTTCCACAGTAGACAAGGGTTCATCTGCACATCCCGTCAACTTGGTCTATTGCATCCGCTGCTCCCAATGTGGTCTCCTCTACATTGGTGAGACCAAGTGGAGGCTCGGAGACTGCTTTGTAGAGCACCATCGCTCTGTTCACAACTAACGACAACACCGTCCAGTCGCGAACCATTTCAACTCCCCCTCCGACTCCCTGGGCAATATGTCCATCTTGGGCCTCCTCCTGCGTCACAATGATGCCACACACAAACTGGAGAAGCAGCATCTCATATTCCGCCTAGGGAGCCAACAGCCCAATGGCTTAAACATGAATTTTAACCAGTTTCAAAATCTCCCCACCCCTGCCTCATCCCATGACCAACCCTCCCTTTCATCCCCGCCTCCTTGACCTGAAACAACCTGTCCATCTTCTCTCCCACCTATCTGCCCCTCCCACCTCAATGGCCAATCCCTATCACTCCATACCTGCACTAACCTATCACCATCCCACCTACCTACCCCAGCCCCACCCCTCCTCTCTCTATTTATTTCTGAGCTCCCTTGCCCCTCCCCATTTCTGAAGAATGGTTGCGACCCAAAACATCAACTTTCCTGCTCCTCTGATGCTGCCTGGCCTGCTGTGTGCCTCCAGCTCCAAACTGTGTTATCTTACATTTGTAAATGTATTTCTACTTTACTTTGTAAAGACCATGCCTTTTTTTCAACTTTTCTGTAGTTTTGAAAAAGAAGGTTTGAAAAACCAAAGATTGTTGAATGATTCCTGCAGTTTATAAAAGGAAGAAGCATAGAATCCCCACAATGTGGAAGCCGACCATTCAATACATCGAGTCCACACGACCCTCTGAGCAGCATCCCACCCAGATACAACCCCCATCCCATCCCTGTAAACCTACATTTCCCATGGCTAATTCACCTAGCCTACACATCCCAGGACACTATGGGCAATTTAGTATGACTGATCCACTTAACCCGCACATCTCTGGACTGTGGGAGGAAACTGGAGTACCCAGACAAACCCACACAGACATGGGGAGAATGTGCAAATGCTACACAGTCACCCAAGGCTGGAATCAAACCTGTGTTCCTGGCACTGTGAAGCAGCAGTGCTAACCACTGAGCCACCAAGCTGCTCATTCTACTCTCTGCAGTAAAAGCTACTTAAAGCCTGAAGAAAACCAGTTTACATTTTTTTTAGTACTTTCTGTAATCTGTGACTTTTATTTAATAAGTCAGAGTCCTTTTATAAATGTGAACCAACCAACCTGTTTCTTCTGAATCAATGGAAGTGTCTAAAGAAGGAAGGTATGGAGGCAGCATTTTGATAGTACAAAAGCCACCTCCAGCAGATCCTGTGACAAGAGATGATCAAGCTGCTTTCACAGTTTTCCCTCCACCCAGAACGATGATGAGTTTTTTTCTGTCTGTGTCTGTCTTTGTGTGTGTTTGAGAAGAAGTTTATAACAAGGTTAAAGTTTTAATTCGTAAATTGTTGTATGCTATGCTCCTAATTGTTTACCTGGAACTATTTGTTCCCTAATGCCAGACTGGCATAACATCTTGATATTGTCATGTTGTCACCCAACAGAATGACTTGAAAGGACGGTCCTAATGAGTGACCAAATCACTGACTGATCTCTGTGAAGCTGCCCATTGACTATCCACCACTGACTGGTTGCACTGGACCTGCAAGACTCACAGTGGCCCACTTTCCAGACTGTAATGACTGGGAATCCCTGACACTGACCACCCCAAACATGTCCAAGCCCCAGACCGATATATGATGACATCCTTGACTTACCGGGCCAGTAGCCTCTGACTGACAACAATCTCCTTTGACTTGACTGCGGTCTACTTCCCTTAAGAACAAAGAACAAAGAAAATTACAGCACAGGAACAGGCCCTTCGGCCCTCCAAGCCAGCGCCGATCCAGATCCTCTATCTAATCCTGTCGCCTATTTTCCAAGGATCTGTATCCCTCTGCTCCCTGCCCATTCATGTATCTGTCTAGATACATCTTAAATGCCCGCCTCTACCACCTCCGCTGGCAACGTGTTCCAGGCACCCACCACCCTCTGCGTAAAGAACTTTCCACACGTATCTCCCTTAAACTTTTCCCCTCTCACCTTGAAATCGTGACCCCGAGTAACTGAGTCCCCCACTCTGGGAAAAAGCTTCTTGCTATCCACCTTGTCTATACCTCTCATGATTTTGTAGACCTCAATCAGGTCCCCCCTCAACCTCCATCTTTCTAATGTAAAGAATCCTAATCTACTCAACCTCGCTTCATAGCTAGCGCCCTCCATACCAGGCAACATCCTGGTGAATCTCCTCGGAACCCTCTCCAAAGCATCCACACCCTTTTGGTAACGTGGCGACCAGAACTGTACGCAGTATTCCAAATGTGGTCGAACCAAAGTCCTATACAACTGTAACATGACCTGCCAACTCTCGTACTCAATACCCCGTCTGACGAATGAAAGCATGCCGTATGCCTTCTTGACCACTCTATCCACCTGCGTTGCCACCTTCAGGGTACAATGGACCTGAACACCCAGATCTCTCTGTGCATCAATTTTCCTCAGGGCTTTTCCATTAACCGTATAGTTCGCTCTTGAATTAGATCTTCCAAAATGCATCACCTCGCATTTGCCTGGATTGAACTCCATCTGCCATTTCTCCGCCCAACTCTCCAATCTATCTGTATTCTGCTGCATTTTCCGACAGTCTCCTTCACTATCTGCTACTCCACCAATCTTAGTGTCATCTGCAAACTTGCTAATCAGACCATCTATACCTTCCTCCAGATCATTTATATATATCACAAAAAACAGTGGTCCCAACATGGATCCCTGTGGAACACCACTGGTCACAGTTCTCCATTTTGAGAAACTCCCTTCCACTACAACTCTCTGTCTCCTGTTGCCCAGCCAGTTCTCCATCCATCTAGCTAATACACCCTGGACCCCACGCGACTTCACTTTCTCCATCAGCCTACCATGGGGAACCTTATCAAACGCCTTACTGAAGTCCATGTATATGACAGCTAC